TGAAAGCCTCATGTGGCCATAGAGATCTACATTCATGGAGGCGCCCGTTTCCCAGCAGACTTCAGGTAGACCAGTTCTAGTGATCAGAGTGGCATTAAGAGGCACGGGCAGCAGGAGAGGTAAATATTCAATTCAATTATTCAGATAAATTATTTCACTATTAAATAATATAAATATTAAATATTCAATCCCTTCTTTACAGGTATGGACTTAGTTGAATTTATTTCAGAATGTGAAAAACTGTCAAGTTCATGTACACTCCCGTCCAGCTCTTTAGACATTCTTTATAGTTTTCACTTTACTAAACAGATATTTCATATAAGACTGTGTCATTTACTACTTCTGATGAGCCTATAAACTTATGCATTATTCATCTAAATGTTTTGTTTTTTTCAACAGAGAACAATTTTCACAATGAGATAGAGCATGATGAAGACTATAGACTGCGTATAAGCCCAGTGGTTGAACATACCACCCCATTTATCAACAGGCAAGACCCGGTGAGTTCTGGCCAATACGCACATTAACCGCTTGAAGACCAGGTGTTTAGACCCCCTTCCTAGCCAGGCCATTTTTCAGTATTCAGCGCTGCGGTACTTTGACTGACATTTATTCCGTCATGCAACGCTGTACTGAAATTAATTTTATACCATTTTTTTGGGGACAGATAGAGCTTTCTTTTGGTGGTATTTAATCACCACTGGGGTTTTTATTTTTTACTATATTCAGGAGAAATTTTTTTTTTACATTATGTTATAAAACAACTAATATTACACACTTTTTTGGTAAAATATAAAATATGGGGTCACGTCGGGTAAATAGACACCAAACATGTCAAGCTTAAAAATTGCCCGCACTCACGAAATCGCAGAAAACTAGCATACCCAAAATTGGCCATAGGCGACGCTTTAAAGCGGGCCGGGAGGTAGTTAAAGTGGATGCAATTAAATGCTTACCTTGGCTCCAGAAACACTTCAGCCACATTCCACAGGTTATGCGGTCACATTCCTAGGCATTTACCTGCCAGCGGATTTGTAATCCTGTCCACACAGTTTTTTGTGATCCTACGGTGCCCCTATCTAATATCAAGAACACAACCTAAAGCTACTAATTGGACAATGAAGGAGCAGCAGCATTCATATTGGTTCTTCTGCTGCTCAGTCTGCTCTTTCTTCTTGTCAGCATGTTCTGTGTCATTCATGTGCACTACAGCAGAGCCTGAGCAACTGTGAGTTGCGACCTTGCTGTACAAGAGATTGCAAAGGGTTGCTACCAAGACACATGTCAGTATTTAAAGCCCATTTCCACCTTTGCAGAAGTAATGTTTCAAAAAACATATGCCAGCAATGTACACCAAGTCAACATGAAGCAGACATGTGCAGTTGCTGTATATGAACACATAATCGTGCGTTTCTGTTACCTTTCCTCTTCTTATCCTCATGGAAATGGCTGCCTCTTTGCTCTGTGTAAATTACAATTGAGTTCTCTGTGAGCTTCCCACCCCCCATTCATTAGTATTCATTAGGGATGCACCGATACTAGTATCGGTGCCGATACCGAGTATTTGGGCGAGTACCCATACTCGCCCAAATGCTCTGATGCCTAGCCCGATACTTTCTGTATCAGGAAGCCGGGCAGGGCATCATTTCACGATGCCCGGATTCCTGATCGGCTGGGAAGCGGCTCCATGCTCTTTCGTCACTTGTGATGAGAGTGCATGGAGCCGACTTCCTGGCCAATCAGGAAGCCGGGTAGCGTGTAATGACGCAACGACCGGGATTCTGATCGGCCGGGAAGCCGGCTTCGGCTGGGTACCAGAGGAAGGCAGCTCCTGGCTGGAGAGGCCCCGGGGGTGACAGGCTGGACATGTCGAGGTGAGAGAGGACAGAGATCCGCACTGAGGGATTCATATGGGACGGCTTTCTTGTTAATCGGGAAGCCGGGTGGTGAGTCTTTACATGCTGCCCTGCTTCCCAGCAAATCAGGAAGCCAGGTGGCGAGTCATTACACACCTCCTGGCTTCATGAATGGGACTTCCATTACTCCGTAATTGGTATTGGCGAGTACCGAAAAAAATTATCGGTACTCGTACTCTGTACCAAAATACCGGTATCGGTGCATCCCTAGTATTCATAGTGACTAACCCCCCTCCCTTTCACAGTGTAAAGGCAGAACTCATGTTTATTGATCGTGTTACACAGAATCACAGGGAGGGAGGCAGCTGCTTAGTTTACAGCCTGCTTTACAATCCAACCCCAGTGTTAGACCTGTGGAGAAAAGTTTGCATTTCTAGGATTCAGGCCTAACAAAACATTCATTAAAAAAATGAAGAAAACCTGCAATGTGAGTCATGAAAATGTGCACACACATACATCGTCACTGCACCTCTACATTACCACAATAAAGGCTAATCGCTTACAAAGGTGGAAATGGACTTCAATCACTGTATGTTTTAAATTAATACATAGACAGGTAAAAACAATATACAGTATGTGAAGTTTAGTTTTAATAACATATATCTATTTTTTTTTTTAGACGGATATTGAACAGCTGCTTCGGGATGTTTTATTGGACTCGGATGAGCATGGTAAGGAATAAGTCCATTGATCGTTTGTAGTTCAGAAATGCATTTTCATGCTATAGATTAATTATTGAGACAAAAAAAGGGGGAGAAACAGGAAGAGATGTGGGGGGTCTGGGGTAATTACAGGGGTCCTCTTACTGTATCCACTAGATAATAGGTGTTTTACTTTGTCTTTAATTATGAAATATAATTGGAGCACTGGAAAAGCTGCTCTCTCCCCACTGTTATGTAACACAAAGGGCTGTTCATGGATACAGCGGTGACTGGCATTTTTCAGCACCGGACGAATGGCAGCCACCACTAGGGCACATAAAAAACAATGGGGGGTATTTATCAAAACTGGAGCAGACAGAATCTAGAGCAGCTGCCCGTGGCAACCAATCAGCTTCTCTCTTCAGTTTGTTCAGTTAAGATTTGAAAATGAAAGATAGAAGCTGATTGGTTGCGGTGCACAACTTCTCCAGATTTTGTCTGCACCAGTTTTGATAAATTCCCCCCAATGTTTTTTTTTTATGTGCCCCATTCACACCATAATGGAAGTGTGATGTGCGGTGCGGACATACTGCATTTTTCCGCAGTGCACTGCATACCAATTGGGGTCATGGCAGCAAAATGTAAAGTGCTGCCCCTCAAAGACATGAATGGATTGTACACTTTGTACACTCCAAAGAAAGTTAAGGAGAAAAAAAAAAGTAAGTTGCAACAACACATTACATTGTAACACAAGGCACCATGGTTCACCGCTGCCACCCAGCGGACAGTCGTTGCACCGTAAAACGCCATGCGGCTAGTGTGAACAAACCCTAAGTAGTACATTCCTGATTGATGTAGCTGTAAAATAACTGCTTTAATGTGCTGGATACTGAAACCAACATAGACGACATAATGATTGCACTCTAATTATGCTGCAATAGCTTCCTTTCTTATGAAACTGCTTAAAGGAGAACTATGAGGTGAGTGCTTTTCACTCACCTCATAGTTCTAGCCGACCTGTGACAATGAGACTGTCACAGGTCGGCTCAGTAGATCGGGAGGTGAGCGAACACATACCGGCGTTCGCTCACCTCTCGATCCTGTCACGGCTCTCTGCCGTGACAGGGGAGGGGCTTGTTTCCCCCCCTCCCCGCTCCGATCCGCCAGCGCTGACTGGCGGAACGGACGGGGAAGGGGGCGGGTACAGCTGGCTCTGCCTCTAGATAGGCAGAGCCAGCTGTCAGCCACGCAGCTGGGTGGATCCCGGCACAATTGTCGGGATCCGCTTCACCTGCGCGTCTCAGTATACCGCGAGCTACATACTGAGCCTAGGGTGATGGGAGGATGCTAGTTTGTGTCCTCCCGTTACCCTAAGGAGAACTATGGGAAAAAGCCTTAACCCCATAGTTCTCCTTTAATTCACTTGTTCTCAGAGCCTGGCGCTAGTAGTTTTTGGCAGAGTTGAAGGATATCTACAGTATGCATAGTGTGGTTGACCAGCTTTTTTTATATGCATCCCCTTCATTAAAACTCATCTGGAATTTCTATTTAAATACACTAAATGCATTCCGGAAGCATTCAAACAAAAGGATTTCAAAGTCTTACAGTTCCCTTGCTTTAGAAACAAGCCACAGTAGAGAAGGAGATAAACCTGTGCCCAGCAAGCGTGCTGCAGAAAAGGACCCTTGCTCTCTGTGTGGAAGCAGTGATCTTTCTGCAGAGGTCCAGCACACCCCCAGTAAGTCAGAGCTATAGCTCTCCAATCAGCAGAAAGCCAGGGTCCTTCTCTGCAGCATGCTGGCAGGACATAGGCTTTAGACATGTGTGATTCGTTCAGTTCTGAATTCAGATAAATTCGGACATTTGGATGCATCCAAATCTCTAAATGAAAGAAATAATGAATCTGAACTTACCCAAATTTTTGGATAATGAAATTCGGATGCATTCGAAATTTCTCCCAAATGTGATTCGTAATAAACTTGGGTTGTGAAACGTAAAAAAAAGAAAACCAAACAGTGTGGAGTTCCCAATTCATACCAGAACTTTTAGCTCTTGCAGAAATTTTGAACTAAAGGGGGGGACGAGCGAGCGGCCCCTCCCCCCCTACCATTCCAGGCCACATGCCCTCAACATGGGGTGCTTGTCCCCATGTTCATGAGGACCAGGGCCTCTTCCCCACAACCCTGGCACGGTGGTTGTGGGGGTCTGCGAGCAGGAGGGCTTATCTGAATCTGGGTTCCCCTTTCATAAAGAGGGCATCCAGATGCCACCCCCCTCCCCTCATAAATAAGTAAGGGGAAGAAGTTACCCCCCTGCTGGTCGTTTCAAGGGTCTGGTAAGGGATTTTAGGGGGGATCCCATGCTATGTGTGGTTTTTTTGGTGTTGGGGTCCCCCTAAAATTCTTACCCGACCTAAAGGGTCTGGTGTGAATTAGGGGGGGAAAAAACACACTTTTTAAAGTTGTATTTTTTTTTTATTGTTTCTGTGGACTGTCAAAAGTAAAGACAAAGAAACATTTAATGTCACTATGCTGCAACAAATTATTGTTCCTAATTATCGTTTAACTCATCTGAAATGTAACAAAACATTCAGATTTGTCCAAACCGGAATAATGAACTGAATTGACTTTTGGACCCGATTCCCGAAAAATCCGAAAAGAACAGAAATGCACATGCCTAATAGGCTTTTCAAGTGTCATTGAAGAGTTACCGCTGCTAGGATTTTTACTATAGTGATCAACAAAAAGCACACAAATATATAAACAAAAAATCCTGTGCTGCATTTGGTTCTTCCACTGGCTTCTTAAATGCCTCACCAATCTTCCTGTCTTTTTAGGTGCACAGCGGCTATTAGAAATCACTCAGGAAGAATATTCACAGGATAGATCAAGAGTGGATCAGGTTTTCAGAGGACCTTTATATGAGCCCAGTCTAGCCATGTCGGAATCGTATAATAATGGACATAGGCAACCCGTGACAAACAACCACAGTCCATTGTTTCCTGAGCAGTGTGAGTATTCAGAGTGAACTGTCCAATGTTTGAAATATATAGTGTGTCTTGTAGTGAAGGTATCTTCTCTTTCTGTATAAATCTGTTTTCCACGTATGCTTGGAGTCTAAAGCAGCACAGATATTTAAACAAAAAAATGTAAGGCAGCAGTCCCCAAACTATAGCATGCAGGCCAATTACATCCCTCCGGTTGCTGTAGGTCAGTCCCTGCAATGAGAAGGCTCCGCATAAAGGGCTTTCTCACTGCAAATTGTAGTGGGGTAACCAGAGTGACAGAGCATTCCAGCATAACGTAACAGGCACCATCAGAGTGATCTCCTTCCTTATGATGCCTGTATAGTCCCGGATGCAATGTCATCTAAAGAAGTATTGCTGTCATGCAACCTACACAGAGGTAAGTGCCACTAAACACCAATGCCAGAGAGGGGACATTTCCCACTCACACAGGAGAACCATTCTTCCCACTGACACAAGGGAACCATTCTTCCACTGACACAAGGGAACCATTCTTCCCACTGACACAGGGGCACCATTCTTCCACTGACCACTGACACAAGGGAACCATTCTTCCACTGACCACTGACACAAGGGAACCATTCTTCCCACTGACACAGGGGCACCATTCTACACAGGGGCACAGGGGCACCATTCTTCCCACTGACACAGGGGCACCATTCTTCGCACTGACCACTGACACAGGGGCACCATTCTTCCCACTGACACTGGGGCAACGTTCTTCCCACACTGAACACCGATGCAGGGGCACAATTTCTCGCAGAGGCAGGCACATTTATTACTCCTACTGACCACTGATACTGTGGAATTTTTACTGACCACTAATTTTTTTTACTCCACAAATTCAGGAGCATTTTCTGCTGAATACTGACATGGGGTATTTTTTGCACTCCCACTGACCTCTGATGCCAGGGCATTTTTTTTTTTACCTTCAGAATTCCACAGAAACTCTGCTTCCTAGTCATATATGAAGGGTTGGCCCAGCCCCACCTGCCTTCTGTGCTGCTTCATTGGTCTGTTACTTTAAAGGCAATATTAATGGATAATCAGAAAGAATAGGTGTAGATGGACTACACCGCAAGTAAGAGTGCATGTTAAAACACCCTTAGTCTTGAAAGTCTGCTGTATTCTTGTAGGCTCCTAAAAGCAAACCCATGCCTTATCTTTGCAGAACAAACAAATAGATTCACTTTAATGACCCTTCCCCGCTAACACATACTGTTACTAACCACTACACCACTAACTCCATACTTTTCAGGGATGGTTCTACGTGGCTCTACAAGCATGGTCTGCTTGCAGTATTTATATTGTCCCCCTCTATGGCAAACCATTGCAATACATAAAAAAAACATGTAGGAGAAAAGTTAATAAATATACTTACCTTACCTGATGCTTCCATAATGCAGGGGGTGATATTACACCCCTTCAGATGAGATCTGGAGAATGCTGAGCCCAAATCCCATGAAAGCACAATTCCAAAGCATCTTTTCATTAAATTTGGGCTACTTAGCATTTCCGCAAGAATGATGACCTCATCCACAGCCAGGTGCTGGGGGCAGAAGTCGGTGGAAAGTACTGTATATTTATTCCCTTTTACTCTACATTTTTTTTGTAATGTATTGCAGTGCTTTTACATGGGGGCAGGAGGGCAACATAAGTAGGCATATCTTCAGTGCAAGATCCACATTAAGTTGTTCTTTCATAACTTAATGTATTTCATAACTGAAAACCACTCTTAATAGTAACCCGAAGAGATACAAGTTGCACAAATGCACAGTTAAAGGTGTAGCAAGACACTTGTATAGATATGGGGCATCCCTTTAACCCCTGAACCACCTTGTCTCATTTCCTTATTGTGACCAAAGTATTGTGAAGTTGTAGTGCATTAAATCTAAATACATACATGTGTTGTCAATGAGTACAATGCTATTGATAGAGATAATCAAATAGGAAATGATTTACTTGGAGATAATTAACACTAATAACTTACTCTTATTGTAGGTACACCATATCAAGTGTATGGCATGTATCAGAATGGACATATTGAGAATCTCCCAGCAGTTGACCAGGTCTTCCAGCAAATACCTGCTTGTCCACAACTGCTGCCAGCACCACCAGTGTGCAACTTTGTGGAAGCTATATTTGATGATGTGCAAACCTGCGAATATGTATTCCAACAAGAAAGTAAGTAACATTGCTGATGACTTCTTCTATTTTAGCAGAGCTGACTAGAGAATTGGACACAATGTCCCAACCATCCTTTCCACAGTAACAGTTTCTGTACCAGAATTCCTCACTCTTTGAACCTGTCATTGCTGTTATAAAGGGGTTGACCCCTCTAACTGGATGCCACCCCCCTTCAGTGTTATAGACGGACACCACTATATTATAGTGTTTTCCTTTTCTTTACTGACTGTAATTAACTATTACAGTTCAAAGGTGCTCCCATGGAAAGATTAACCTTTTCCCATTCTGGTGACAACCATAAGATTTTGGGTTTTACATCACTTTCTGTAAAAAATTGATCACCAGGACTGACAGAAATGGTTAATAAATTCAGTGGGGACACAAGCGGCAATAAAGAGGCTTGAACCCTTCCCCGCTCTCTGGTTAGCAATACATGTTATAAAATAATGTCCAGTGTATAGCTCTTGAGCCAAGATCCATCCTGTAGTATTTCTCTGGTCTTGGCAGAGCTCCCGAGTTATCAAAGTGCTTATCCAGAAAGCAGTTCATGTGGCACAGTGTAGATTACCGCTACTTGGCGTGATAATCTTATTGCAGAGTGACAGGACAACACAAGACATATCAGGAGCTACAGCAGGAGCCCTGGCCAGTTGCCAAAGAAGTCACTTCCCTGTGTGTTCTGCTGTAAGTGCAGGGCAATCGTTCGAAGCAGGCAGTCTCACATGGTAGAGTCTTAAGTAGTTTGCCCGTGGTTTGATATTACAAATTGCATTGATGTGTGCGCAGCACAGTGGCGTAATTGTTAGCACTTCTGCCTTGCAGCACTGGGAGTCCCTGGTTCAAATCCCAGCCAGGTCACTTTGCGTGGGTTTCCTCCAGGTACATGGGTTTCCTCCCACACTCCAAAGACATGCTGGAAGGTTAATTGGCTCCTCTCTAAGTTGGCTCTCTATGTATGCATGTGAGATAGAGATAGGGACCTTAGATTGTAAGCTCCTTGAGGGTAGGAACTGATGTGAATGTGCAGTATGTAAAGCGCTGTGTAAATTGTTTGCGCTATATAAATACCTGTAATAATGTGTGGGACGCCCCCATCCCAGTAGTTATTATGGAAAAAGTTTGGACAATTACGATGTTTATCTGAAGGAAACACAACATTAAAGCACATACTTATACAGGGCATGTTTTTAATTTTGACAGGTACACAGCATATGGTGAATAATGAAGCCACCACCCATTGCAATAATAATCCGTGTAACACTGATGGGGAAATGAGCGCATCACAGTCCTCACACGATAGCACTCCTTCCACATTTAATGACCATGGATCGACTGAGTCTCCGGAAACTGCGTCTACCTTGTTTCATCAAGAAGGTGAGTAGAAATCTACAGAGAAATCCAGAAACCACTAAATACTTTTTGCTAAGCCAGCTTATTTTTTCAGTGTCCTTCTGTCTGTGACATTCAATGATGCAGGGATTTCTTCTGGCTTTTATTCCACCCTTTTACACATTTTTTGTCCAATATGATATTCTGAGCCAGACTAGCAAAATAATCAATTTTGTAATCATTTGCATTACTTCTATTGATCTGCTATGCTTACACTGGGTTTAAAGTAAGTGCTATGCCTGTTTGAGAATCTTAAAATTATGTTTGATGCAGAAAGTTGAAAATTAAGTGCTCACAATGTATGACCGCAATCTGAGGGGAATTGATCAAAACTGGAGCAGACAGGATCTGGAGTAGCTGTGCAGGGCAACCAATTATCTTCTACTTTTTCATTTTCAAAGCTTAACTGGAAAAGCTGAAGATAGAAGATGATTGATTACTATGGGCAACTGCTCCAGATTCTGTCTGCTCCAGTTTTAGTAAATTCCCCCTATTGTGTTGCAGTTTATCCCTGGCAACATTTAAGCCCAATTGCAGCACCCTCTTCTCTTTCTCTCCCCCTTGGAGCACCCCCCTTTTTTTTTTTTTTAACTTTTGCAGCCAAACTGGGACAAGATCTATTTTACATTTGTTACATGTTCCCATTTACATAGCATAAGCTAAAATATTTGTAATAATGCTTCTTGCAGTTTAAATTGCTTTAACTTGACTTAGGGTTTCTTGGCTTCTTAAGGGTTAAAATGTCTACTTGCTTCTCTCTCTTTTTTGGTGTTAGGGGGGTTTCTGAGAGGTTTGTTCATTATAATTTGTAAAGTAGATTTGAACACTGCCTGTCCTAACAGAGGGTTGAAAGATTACAACCCTGGCTTCTGCATTGTTTGTTAATAAATTAGATAAACATGATGAGAAACACAATCCTCAAACTTCAGTCCCAAAGTAGGCTATACACGCCGCAAATTTCGCACAGTGGGTGCCCCGGTCAGCACCCTTTCGTCTGGCATCCCTTGATCAGCTGATCGAAGGAGCAGGTTGGAAAGTTCTCGGCCGAACAGCCCAACTATCATGCCTTAGTTTTTGCTAGTGTCCTTAGGAGAATGGTCGTGTTTTCTTAAGCTCTGCTCTTGTCTGTTCCTCTGGAATATTTTCTACTATGAACAGCTACTGGTAGATTCATGCTGGATATATAGAATCCTAAAAGGTTTCTGCAGTCAGCCAACATTACTGGTAGATTCATGCTGGATAATTGAAATACTGGAAGTTTCTCCAGTCCACTGATTGCAGGTTTTCCCAGTTTTATATCGGTGATCTTTCTGCAAAGTTTCTGATGAATTCAGGACCGGATCTGGAAACCCTGAGCAGCTCTCCATCTGTACAAGCAGTGCAGGTTCCCAGTTCATTATCAATACTGGTGTTCTCTGTGCTGTGTTCCATTTCACATAGGACTTCACTATTCAGGTCAGGCCAGTATGTCTGGGAATTCCTTATGAATTTGTCAGTCCTGAGCTCAGGCAGTTTTCACCTGGCATTGTCTCTGGAGACTCGCCTTCATGAGTGGATGTAGCAGACTAATGCAGTGTTGGGGTTAGGAGGAGGAGCCCCTGAGGGCTTACAGTCTAAGAGGGAGGGGCTATATAGTGTCTGAATCTGAGGCAGTATTGTCAGAACAGACAGTTTTTAGAATATTTTGGACAATAGGACATTTGATAAGAGTGTCTATCATCTAAACCTAACGAGTTAATAATTGCTGTATTACATCATGTGCTTACAGCATGTATATTCTCTCACAGGTAAGATGCCAAAACTTACATCATGGGAAGTGACTGTGTATTATCGAGGAAAAGAGGTTCTCAAGCAAAATGTATCAACAAAGTTTTACATAAACTATACAGGACATGTTCCTCAAACTGAGCCTGCAGAACTGGTCACCTTCCCCCCTACTGCTGACACTCTGGTGGATCAGGTACAGATCGAGTATACTGACAAAATTCTAAATTCCGTTGGCAATGGACTTTTACTTGATGTTAGTCCTCATGATCGCAAGTTGTATGCCACAAGAATGGGCAACTCAAGAGTGTACTGGGGCATGTCGGAGAGCCTGGAAACCAGACAGAATGTGTCACACGCAATGAAGTTGGATAGAAATGTTCCAACCGGAATATTTGATTTCAACCATTTCACACAAGGTATGATCAAGATTGGGTTTGTTTTTGGATTAAGAATTGTGTAGATTTCTGGTTATAGATTTTAGAATGGACATATTGAATTAATTTGCCATCGATCACTCAGCATACATTTGCAGATGCCCAGACTGGCAGGATTAAAGAAATATTTTTTAACTCCGCAGATCCTGCCAAAGAGTAAGAACCTGTTCATAACTCATTTATACGCATTTTATATTTTCTACACAGAGAGTTGACTGTTTAATTTGTAATTAAACCCCCTGTTATGCAACATCCTGAATGAAAATGTCACATCCCACAGATACTCTGCTGTGAGTCACTGGCCTCTGTATTGTATTGTGCTGCATTTAAATACATGACAAGTGGTAGGCTAATTAATTAGCCGGATTTGTTGGAGGAGCCCCACACAGTTAAACTGCTCCGTCTCCCACTCTCACCTGCCAGCTCGTGGGCATCATCCCACCCGCCTCACCCCCTTTTTTCAGTTACCTTTTACTCTGAGTATGCCCCCTTATTTTGCATACTGACCATAGTGACCACGGCACACCCCACCAGGTCATTGTAGGCAGGTCCATCATCTTGATTCTTGGGTACGGATCAGTGGGGCTTTGACCAGAAATTATATAACATTGCTTCACCAATATAATATGGTACATCCCCACTGTGCCCCTACATTACTGTGGATGCCCACCTCTTCAGCCTGACATTCAATAAGTGTGTTCCCAGGCAAGTTTCCCCTACTGTAATAATACCCTATATCTCCCCAAAATCCCAGTACCACTGCATATATTGCAGACATTGCCCTGCCTACCCCCCTTCCTTACAGCACACCTACGCTTAATGGAGTAATTTGTCTTCTCAAATATGGTACCAGTGAATGGAGGCATACAGAGTAATGTTCTAGATGTGAATGGGCATCTGGGCAGTAGGTGTGCCATGATGCTTCATAGGAACAAAGTGTCTGGGCAGTAATCTGGAGAAATGCGATATGTGTCTGGGCTTTTATTTTGGAATAGATACAAGAACAATTTGGAGAAAGCATGAGTGCCAAATACTGATATATGATATGACTTGCATGTCTTCATTTGCATTGTATAGGGTTTGCACATACACAATGAAACATCACTTTTGCTACCCCTACCTGTGTCTAAACCCTAAACTTTTTTTTTTCAGTTTTGCATAAAACAGCAGGAAAGGGTTAGAAACTCTGTCATATATTTTTTTTCTTTTATGTGCAATCTGTGTCTCATTGAGGAAATTTCCCTTCACTTCCTGTTCTCTATACATACCAGGAAGTGAAAGGAAATCTCTTTAAAGTAAGAGAAATCCTCTCTAGGACAGTTGTCCATGCAACAAATGTCCCCATCGGAAGACTTTCCCTCTATTCCTGTCTCAATTACAGCTCAAAGTTATAAATTATGTTACTGTCAGAGCGCCTCCATAGTGTAAAAGTGTAATTTATTTGTACAACACGCAAATAAAAATGTACTTACAGGAAAGTCGGTGGTTAAAAGCATACAAATGGTGATGAAGTATAAAATCTCTAGCAGCGGAAGTCTGAAGGAACCTCTGATGAAGGGGGCGTGCCCCTGAAACGCGTAGACCTTTAGAACTCAAGGGGGCAGAGGACGCTGATGTGCTGTACTCCTTCAGACTTCCGAAGCAGGAAGCAGATCAATGACAAAAGTGAGACCCAGGATAGTCAAGGGAAAGGTCAAACCAGTTGGCTGTAGAAGTTGCCTGCGAATAAAAGCATAGGTTGAGGGTCAGGATTGGAATCAGTACTCTGTGAAATTATTTTATCCCAGAAGGAAAGAAATGGTTAAATCGCCAAAATCTGCACATTCCCTGAACATCAAAAACCATTTTCCTTTTACAGAACTGAAAGCCTACACGTGTCATGAGAGATCATCCCCTGACTTCACTTTGTACCTGTCCTTTGGCCAGAGCCTGTTTGAGCCAATAAAGAAAGCACTGGTGTTGGTAAAGGTAGGTACTCTATTAAGTTTATTTTACATTATGGAGAATACAACGGGGGTTCTGGAACAAGGAAAGCTGGGTGGAACCACCAAATCCCAAGTAAGCAGAAACAGAGTCAGAAATTATAGCAGGGGGGTTCTCACTGATGGAGTATACATTATATAAGGAGCCATCAGATTCTTTAGCTCGATAGCTAAGATATATCTTTTGGGCGAAAGATCCCTTTGATGAAAAAAAATATGAATAATCAGCTTATAAACATTCAAACAAAATTACCACATTCACCAAAACCAATACCCTTTCCCTTTAATTGTGCTGTAACAGGCAAAATATTGAGTTTAAACTCTAAAATTGTCTAGGTAATGAGTGTCCGCATAACGCTAGGGTTGAAAATGAAGGTTGAGGGTCTTGGCAGAAATAGAATCAATAGTTTTTAGATGCTTAGCACAACAATATACAGCTATGCCTCACTTAACGGCCTACCTGGTTAGCAACTGCTCACACTTACGACCAGCTCTCCGACAGTACGTGCGGGAACGTGGCAGCGGCAGTGCGGCGTCTCACGGACGTCAGTACTGTACTCCGTTCTCTGCTACTATTCTTGGTAAGTACTGTATTTACAGTACACTGTACAGTACTGTACATCTCCAACACTAGAGTACTGTATACAGTTCCTCACTTAACGACCAATTCGTTTAACGACCTGGTCCTAGGAACGGAACTCGGTCGTTAAGTAAGGAATAGCTGTATTGTACTTTGCTGCAGCTCTCCTTAGGAGAACCCTATACACAATGAGCAGACTGCATGTAACCTTCCCTTTTCTTCCCTGTGATTGCATTACATTGTGTCATGGCAGGCTGCAAATCTAGCAGGATGTGAGCCCAGTCATTGATGGAGATCTGTGTATACATTGAAAGCTCAATGATGAACTAAACTCAGCAACAATATATTGTAGATTACCAGTCCTGAGATGTGGTAGCTGTATTATTTTTTTGTCAGCTTGTATTCCATTCACCTGGTGATCCTGCCAGTAACACGCTTTCTGTCCTAAGGTAACAGTCACAGGGCTATTCACAAAAGCGTGAAGAATTTGGAGAAGTGAACAATCTAGGACAACATAGCTGAACTGGAAAGTGAGCTGAATTGGAAAATGTTTCCGAATCAGTTATTCTGGACTAGATTGTTCTCTCCTTCTCCAAACTCTACACTCTTTTGTGAATAGCCCTGTTAAAGTATGGCATCTAGAGAGGGGCAGTGCTGTTACCCTAGAGTAGGAGGTAATGTATGTTAAGATTACAGGAAAAAAACTCCTTAACATAGGGGAGGTGTTCTGTAGTCCACATAGGTGAACTAGGCATGACTGATAGCACAGCATGAGATTTCAGTGCTGCACATGAAGGTATTTGTGGTAACTATCACACAGATATAACAAATAGCTTTAAATTGTATATTTAATATCCCAAAAGGAAGCAGATAAGAGAAGTTTTTTGTTCGGGTTTACATAACCTTTAAGTCTTATCAGTTTCATGAAAGTATCTCTGACTGTTACCTACCTAAAATATTTAGCTTCTTCCTACTTTCCACCACTGTTGGCTTAATAAATATATTAGGTAATGGTGTGTATTTTGTTTTTAAAGCATTCTTACAGCAGAAAAAAAGGCTTACGTTAAAAAGTAACATGGGGGTGGGTGGAAGCAGGAAGCATTGGCCCCCCCAAATGATTCCTGTCTGTCATAGTGGAGCATAGGTTCACCACCTTCATGTATCCCACAGTACAATCCAGACATTGCCATGTGACTGGAAGTGCCTGTGGTTACATATTCACTGACTTTGAGAAAGTCTGTATTTGCATAGTTGCTTCCAGGTTCTTGGAGTAGTGCCAATGAGGCATGGACATAAATGTGACGACAGTCTATGCACCCTTATTTGTTAATGTTTCCAAGAAAGTCACTTTGCAGCTCTAGCTAAAACTTAAAACTGACCGGATTCTAATGCAGGCCATCCACTTGTAGTTTACATACACTCAAGGGATGATTTATAAATGATCTGCCCCAACATACACTGAGTGAAAGCTGTTCACAAAGCATTCCTGCCACAAGATGGAGCCGAGAAGCATAGGACATTCTTATGTTCCTCAGCTCCATCTAGTGGCGAGATTGCCATGCAAATGTCATTCAACCAACCTATCTGAGGGGCAAATGATTTATAAATCCCTTTTTAGTTTTTATACAGTCGGCTAAACGAGAGAAAACTGCTCAATTCCCCCATCCATGCTAAACAGCGTAGTTGAAGGACTCTCCCCTGTCAGCCGGCACCCATGGCTGTCTGAATACCGCAGTCACTGTTCGGCCGATTGTTTTCTGCATGGCTCCTTTGATTTTCAATCTGTTTGTCGAGCTGGATAATGGTTGATTCACAGGAATCCGCTGAGATTCTAACAGTGTATGCCCATCATCAGCTTTGTACATCAGCTATAAAATGAGCCATATATAGCTATGGTCTTATTGTACATGTATAACCTTATGGTAATGCTTCAAACACACAAATTAAATCTTAAAGGAAAACTATGAGGTGAGTGATTTTCACTCACCTCATAGTTTGAGCCGACGTGTGACAATGAAACTGTCACACGTCGGCTCAATAGATCGGGAAGTGAGCGAACGCATACCGTCGCTCGCTCACTTACTTCTCAATCATGTCCCTGCAGAGAGCCGTGACTCTAGATAGGCAGAGCCAGCTGTCACTCACGCAGCTGGGTGGATCTCGACAGTAATGTCAGGATCCGTCCCGGCTGCGGCGGTCTCAGTATGCCGCAAGCTGTAGCTCGCGGTATACTGAGCTTTGGGTCACGGGAGGACGCTAGTTTGTGTCCTCAAGTGACCCTTAGGAGAACTATGGGGAAAAACACTTGCTTCTCCTTTAAATTTTACCTTACTCTTTTTAAATCAGATATGCATGTATTCAGAGGCGGTTCTTGCGTAGCAGTGACACACAATGGCTGTATCTGGTTTTACAGTCCCAAGTGTACCAGTCAGCTCTGGTTGTTTGAAAACCTGGCCTGAAAAAAATCTCTATAAAGGAGTAAAAATTGTTCATAGTGACCAGTCAGACCTCTTCGACAATAAAAAAAAGAAAAAATGAATCCGATTGGTTGTAATGGGCAAGTTCTCCAACCTCATGAAGAATGTTCTATCTCCAGTTTTTTATAAATAGACTCTCATTATGTGTCAGCATTTTTCTCTTGTTTTTTGTTAGGACACTATTAAGTAATTGTTATGAAATAGGGATAGAGATCGCTATTAGAGGAGGAAATGGTGAAATATTTATAAACAAATGTGCAGTAAAAATGTGAAAGTCATATCAAAAATACTTTCATGGAAACTGGCAGTGGCTCGCTACAAAAAGTGGGGTCCTTAGCTTAGATGCCAAGGCCAGTCTCAAACCTCAGGTGGTCTGGCAGTCTGCCCGAAGACAATTCTGAAAGGACATGGCCACTTTTTCATGTCCTATCACAAACTGATTAAGGAGACATTCACCTTTGCCAAGCAGAGGGGTGGTCCACAAATAGACAAGGTGCTTAGACCCTGAAGTGGTTGTGTCGAAGGTGTGTGAGGCCAGTTTACCGTACTATTCTGAGGCTGGAGACTTGGCTTGGTGCCTGAGCTACAGCTCCTACTGTTGGCCACAAGTAGGACAACACTCTTCCAGATGACATCATCTATCAATAAATTTCTTGGCCAGCAAAATAAAAGAGTCCTACAACCCAAAGCTCTACAAAGAATTTGGGCTCTAGGACCCTGAACAGAGCTTTTTAGGACAGCTTTCTTTTCTCCATATCATACACAAATCCTGGAGCCCCCTCACCATGTGTAGGCGAGACCCCTTGGTGACACATATACTCCATCTACAATCCAACCAGCCAGTGCCCCATAATAGTTTTTTTTAAATAGTACTTAGTAAACTGGGCCTATAAAGAGTATGAGAATTGTAGTGCCCTGTGCACACCTTTCCATGTCACCATACAAGAATGATGCAATCACTGTAAACAGCTGTGTATTGCCCTATATTTGTATACATTTTCGACCCATTTGTCCATCTGCTAACTTTGTTTACCTTCCGGGAATATATCTTTTTTGTGTATCACTCGGCTGTGGCTCCTCAAATCCTCTCTGAATTCACGATGACACTGTCCTTTCTTCTGGAGGGTGGCTACTTTTGTTCCCCATGATCCCTGTGGGTGTTATAAAGTAGTCACCGCTCAAAGCTCACTCCCATGATGGACTACAATGTCAATACAAATTAGTAAACTGAACATGAGATTGTAGTCCATCACGTGAGCGAGCTTGGAGCGGTGACTACTTTATAACACACACACTGATCACGGGGAACAATAGTGGCCACCCTCCAGAGGGAAGGACAGTGTCAGCATGAATTCAGAGATGATTTGAGGATCTACAGCCGAGTGATACACAAATAAGATATATTTTTGTTAATAGTTAAGTGACTTGAATGTCTTTTTAAGATTTAACTCCTGAGTTTAGTGTCACAGAAGAGGATAAACTGCACAATCGCTTCACTGTAAGAGAGCTGCAGCAGCACTGGCAGTACAGCACTGCTTGTAGTATCCGGCATTTGCAAATTAATTAAATATACTGTGCACAGGACCTTTCTGAACATTTAACACATCTGACAAGAGGTAACTTTTTTCCCTTAAGAATTGATATAGATGTCAGTGACTGGAGTTCTGCTATCATATAGTAGCAAATAACTTTTTTCTAAACTGTACAGACTTATAGCAATGCAAATGATGATTCTGAAAAATAAGGTTGAGGTTTTAAAATCTTGCTTATATTTGTATTGTACCAAAATAACACCCAGTATTTCAGAGTCCATAGAATCAGTCGCACAGGTCACTGCCCTGAAGGAGCTTATTGCCTATGCTGCTAACACAGGCACAGTCATATAACCTATGAGTGTTTTTTGATTGTGCAGGGACACTAGAGCACTCATAGGAAACAAACACAGAAAAACAATACATTTATGTGTTGTCCTTGGTGGGAGTCTCCTAGTCCTAATGCAGCCAGGTAGGAATGTTAACCTCTTAGCTGCCCACTTCATCTTTAAATTACCTTTGTCATACCTGATTAGTCAGTAATGGCAACAACGCCACATTTTTCAATAAATAGCCTAATTTACTATAAAATTATAATAATATAAACATGCTTATTTAATACAGTAGTTTTCCAAATACCGATATTGATCTGAGATTTCCCCTTTATCACTTTAGAGTAGCTTTGGTAATGAAAGGCAGTCTGTAAATAGTATTGTAACACTTTCCTGCCCTTGACTTATTATTCAGATATTGATCTGATCAATCATATGCTTCCCACTACTATAAATTTGGGTCTTTTGTGGCTCAAAGTCTCATACACAATTGTTGAAAAATGCAATGCAACTACAAAAAAAAATGTATATTAATTTAGGTGTCTTTTAAGTGGCCTAGAGCTAAGTCCAGTAGGATAGAATTGTCCTAGTTGTTGGTATATGTTCTTTAAAGCATTGGTAGGAATATAGGTTTATGGAAATACCTGATTCTCTTATCGCAGTTCTTCTATAAGGCTTTCACTTACCAGATGGATGTGTTTGGTCAGTCCAAGGTTTGAGAGAAGCAAAAATGTAGAAAATGCTGGAAATCTAGACAGCGGTAGCCGAATTCTAGGTAATGCTATGGTCCGGGTCTTGGGTTGTCAGCGAAGTCTTCTGACGAGTGAGGTTGCTACTAGGTTGTGTTCAGTCTTATAGACCATCCCCTCATCAAAGTCCTCACAGACTGCTACTGCAGAGAGTTTCACTTTCCTGTTCCTGACTAGAGTTGGGATTTACCTCTCTAGTCCTCCCCTCTACTGTCCAGCAGAGCTCTGTTTTTGACTCGTGAACTTTATTACTCTCCCTGGCAATGATTAAACATATTTATTTGTGTATCTTCTATGTGTGTGTGTGAGATAGATAGATAGATAGATAGATAGATAGATAGATAGATAGATAGATAGATAGATAGATAGATAGATAGATAGATAGATAGATAGATAGATAGATAATCTCTATCCTTTTTTTTTTATTATTATGATTATTATTATTTATATAAAATTATCAGATCAGCTACAAAACTAAATACTTTAAATAATGGTACTTTGCTATTGGAGGTCAAAACAATCTCTGTAAAGGGAACAAACATATAGAGGACATTTTTATTTTACTTTGCACTTTATTTTTATAAGCACAGGACTTTTACAAGTCACGGCAGCTGCTAGATTTGTGATAAAGAGAAACGATACTAAAGCTTCTATGCCTGTCACAGAGTAATCACTAGTTATACTGTGTACTGGTAATCAAGTACATGTAGATCTGTCTGATTTAAACTTAAAGGGAAATTATAATGGTTTAGGGTCAGTTTCTTTTGTATTTTTCAATGTTATACATTTATAAATTGATGTCTTATATGGTTTTACTAATTTTATATCATTTTTGGTTTACAAAAAAACTTTTAAACCATGACAGGATTCTCAGAGAAGGAAGTTTTCTAAAGAGTGAGCAAAAGAGAAGCTGTTTGCATTGAGGCTTCTCTCTGATTAAGCTTCCTACAGAGGGGTGTAAACAGAGCAAACAGGGGGGTAATGATGGTGGTGAGTCACTGCTCTCACTCATCAGTTTTATGTATGTATGTATATATATATATACACATACACATACACCAACCCACTGTACATTACATTTACCAAGACATTGGGACCCTTATGGTCAGCTCATTTAAAGGTGGCATTGGGGCAATTGGCAATGAGGTGCAGTAACCAGTGGCCACTATGTCAATGTTCCTGGGATATTATTTCTTGTTGCTACGGTTTATTGCATGTTGCTCTTTGTCTTGTTACAACCATTTTTATGTAGAGTAAGATTTACCAATGTCAAAGATAATTGCAGAAAGTCTCTTCGATATTTGTATTTTGTACTTATCAAGTATTTTTTCCCTCCCCCAGCTTGTTCCAAGTTTTTGCACCTTTTGGCACCAGATTGCACAGCAGGAGGGCGCTTCCTCATTGCGCAATGAAGAGCTTAGCCTACAGATCTCCAATGGAATTTCCTTCAATGGCTATGATGTGCCTTGCTTGATGGACCTTGATCTGAGTGATTTCCCGGGCCTGTTTTAATTCACCAAAGAACAAGGTTGTGAGGACCAAAAAAATTAAATCACCAAGTCCAACAGCTGTCATCAAACCATTGTGGTTTGCCATAGGTTGTTTTGTTGCTCTTAACAACATTCCTAAACTACAGATCCGCTGGTCCTGTAGTATTTTACAACATGATTTTTGAATAGGTCTGTTTCTGTCTTTCATGTTAACGATTACAATTTGCGACACATATTTTAGACCTTTGAAATATTTATGTCCAATAATGTAATAATTAGGTAACGAGTGATGGAAGGTTACATTGTTATTGTGCAGAATTTTGTTGCATACAGTACTTTAGTCTACGTACTGAATCATTTGACTATCAATGTTTCCATATATTGCCACCAAGAAGAGTCCCTCTTGGATATTTACAGTGTGACAGCAGCTATTCTAAAGGCTGAGAATGTCTCGAGTTAAAAGGATGTCGTTATAAGCAGCAAGCTTTACGAGGCATGGTGTTTTCCATGTATTTCGTGTAAATTGCACTTTAAGTTATCTTATTGGAAAACAGAACTTGATAGTCTTTCTGGCAACATCTACATTGTTTTATCACAATGAAGTGAACTTTGTCTTCCACGGTTGAACTATGACTAATGTTCTTTACCAAATGAGGGGATTACAGTGAAATGTTTCATGCGCACATTGTTTTATATGTGTGGATTGAAATGAAGTGTTCAGTATCTACACATCCAATTGCTTTTAAGAGAGAATCATATCTCAGTATGTGCATTGACTTCATGGATTATGGTAGAACCTGCAGATCTAAACTGCTCCAATAGGATTTATGTTTATTACCAATGAGACTATTTGGGTACAGATCTAGAACTGCATATTGAGGATGATGTAGATATGTATTTGTGGGTTTTAACCCTTCTTATGCAAGTAAGTCTGTTCTATATAATAGATTATGTTCAAATCTATCAATAAGACTGGCTTGTTGTAAAGGTAAAGACTTTTCACCAAGTGAAGTCACTTTTTCTATGTCTCTTTTATAGTATAAGAAATGGGATAATCCCATAATGCAGAACATTCCCCAATGTATATTGGCTGGATGGCTGCTTTTAAAACTTTATTCACTGATAGGAAAGCAAACCACTATACAACTGATCTTGGGAATGTCACATTTTCTCCTCATTCCTTCTAGTAATTGCAGCAGTAAACCCATGGCCACAATTCCAGTCTTGGTGCGAATTGTGTAACATGAATGTCTGCATGTGATTGTTTGGGGCTGGCATAATTTTGCAGTGGGCAGACTGTTCCTTAGAAAATAACAATCTCAAAATTACAGTCAAGTATTATTCTAATAAAATGTCACATTAATATTTATTGTGAATGATCCTGTCCTAATGCTATATACTCAAAATAGCAGGACTACAAATGATGTTAAATTAAAATGTATTGCATAGGTATGCAGCTATTTAGGGGTAAAATGACAGATGCCCATTAGGTTTAATTTGTCATAAGTCCCAACAGTTTTGCCCACTTTGCCTCTGGGTTGGGGGGACTCCTTCCTGACCTCCAAGGTGTTCAAGATTAGTTCACTGGGTCAAAAAATACCTTAGCCATGGTAATTTAAACTTTGGATAGTTTTAAGAAAATTACTCAAAGGTCTTTTAATTGTATATATTGACTTTGCCATTACCTGTACATGTGAGGCATTTCACAGCTGAACCTGTGTAACTTAAAGAGCCCTCCCTGCATATAAAACTAATGTTCCTTCATCCTTTCTACAGTCCTTGGGGGCGGGGCATAAGGTTAATCTGCCTAATCCATATACTGATCTTGGATATATTTCTACTTTGTCTTACACAAGTACATGTTTTAACTTCATATGCTCATGCTGTCAAAATAAATCCTGAGTAGTAGCAGCTATTATGGAAAATGCAAGCCTGGATGACAGGAGATATTAAACGTGGAATTCTCTTCTGATATTTTCACTACTTAGGGGCTTTTCATGTGGTGTTAATACATTGCTTTCAATACTTTTGCACAGTATACTTCTGCTGGTCAGTATGTATGGGTTGTAGAATGGCAAGAATGGACACACTCACATGCGTGACATCACCTGAAAGGTAAAACTACAAAACTGATTTAGTAAATCAGAGCAAAAGGCATGCAGTTTATATGACGTGTAATCTGTAGTAACCCATGGCAGCCAATCAAATATCAAAGCTATGAAAATCTGATTGATTGCTTGGGGTCACTTTGCACATCTGCATCGCCCTTTGCCATGGCTTACAGAATAAGCATTTGTTAGTCTTGCTGTATTGAGTGATTTCACGGAGTGAGTCTGTTCATGGAATGTGAGAGGAGCAAGTTAAGCTCTTAAGGCAGTTTTTAAATTAAAAGGTATATAATATATTTATATTTTTGTATCGGCACTAAATGTGTGTTGCTTTTGTATGTGAAGTTATGACATCCAATAAAATGGAAATGGTAATTTTATTGTACATTTCTAATAAGGAAACTTTTAATTACAGTGCATAATTCTACTTGGATAATTGATTCTTGTATTCTTTTTTTCCATATGTCCTGTAAATATAAAACAAAATATATTGGAGAAGAAAATATATGTATAGTGCTTCTATTAAACAGATCTTTTCAATTGCTTTTTTTTTTCCATCCTTATAAGTGTTTTTCCCCATAGTTCTCCTAAGGGTCACGGGAGACATATACTAGCGCCCTCCCGTGACCCAGAGCTCAGTATACCGCAAACTACAGTTTGCGGTATACTGAGACTGCTGCAGCCGGGACAGATCCCGACATTACTGTCAAGATCCACCCAGCTGCGTGAGTTACAGCTGGCTTTGCCTATCTAGAGGCAGAGCCAGCTGTACCCGCCCCCTCCCCGTCCGTTCCACAAGTCAGCGCTGGAGGATCGGAGCGGGGTGGGGGGAATCCTTGCGGGGAGCCATGAGTGACAGTTACGGCTCTCTGCGGGGACATGATCGGGAAGTGAGCAAGCAACGGTATGTGTTCGCTCACTTCCCAATATATTGTGCTGACGTGTGACAGTTTCATTGTCACACGTCGGCTCGAACTATGAGAATGAGTGAAAATCACTCACCTTTTAATACATGTTTAAAGAAAAACTCTGGAATTTTTTTTATTAGCCCTTACAGTGGGGCTACCCCTGCAGTGCAGGTTTAAAACATAAATTATTGATTAAGATGGCATTTCTGGTTTCATGGAGATGGCAACATATGTAAATAGGTCATTGACAGGTAGCAGTAATGTAGGCACTGATTCACCTGTTGGATACACTAGTGGAGGCTTCTGCCATGTGGAAGCATTATATATGGAGTTTATGCTATACTCTGGCACCTCGGCATCAATGCCACTGCCTAGCTCTAAGTAACCTATATGGCAGCATTGTAGATGTGGAAGCAGTATAGAAGTTTTTCACACTTCATGTCTATATGGGGGATTCTTTTATTGAATAAATAACTCCCTCCCACTTATATTCATCTTCACAGTGCTTCCCAGACAGATATTAACACTGAGTAGGCTCTAAAACTAAGTGACTCTGAGATTACATCTCTAACAATCATATGTTGATTCTTTTACATTTCAAATTTCTGGGATGGGGGAGCGTGTGACCTCTTCCACTTCAGTGCCTAGAGATATTCACTCACTGGCCACTTTATTAGGAACACCTGTTCAACTGCTTGTAAACGCAAATATCTAATCAGCCAATCACATGGCAGCAACTCAATGCAGTTAGGGATGTAGACATGGTCAAGGCAATCTGCTGACGATCAAACTGACTCATCAGAAAGAGGAACAAAGGTGATTTCAGTGACTTTGGACATGGCATGGTTGTTGGTACCAGACGGGCTGGTCTGAGTATTTCAGAAACTGCTGATATACTGGGATTTTCACATACAACCATCTCTAGGGTTTACAGAGAATGGTCTACAAAAAAAATATCCAGTGAGCGTCATTTTTCTGGGTAAAAATGCCTTGTTGATGCCAGAGGTCAGAGGAGAATGGTCAGACTGATTCAAGCTGATAGAAAGGCAACAGTAACTAAAATAACCACTTGTTACAACTGAGGTATGCTGAGAAGAATCTGAATGCACAACATGTCGTTGAAGCAGATAGACTACAGCAGCAGAACACTGGGTGGCACTCCTGTTTGCTAAAAATAGGAAACGGAGGCTACAATTCACACACGGCTCACCAAAATTGAACAACAAAAGACTGGAAAAATGTTGACTGGTCTGATGAGTCATTTTCTGCTGCGACATTCGGATGGCCAGGTCAGAATTTGTCATAAACATGACAGCATGGATCCATCCTTCCTTGTATCAATGGTTCAGGCTGGTGGTGATGGTGTAATGTTGTGGGGGATATTTTCTTAGCACACTTTAGGCCCCTTAGCACCGAATGAGCATTGTTTAAATGCCTACCTGTGTGTCCTTGCTGACCATGGCCATCCCCTTATGACCATAGTGTACCCATCTTCTGATGGCTACTTCCAGCAGGACAATGCGCCATGTCACAAAGCTAAAATCTTTTTAAACTGGTTTCTTGAACAGTATAATGGGTTCACTGTACTCAAAAGGCCTCCACAGTCAACAGATCTCAATCCAATAGAGCACCTTTGGGATGTGGTGGAACAAGAGATTGGCATCATGGATGTGCAGCCGACAACTCTGACGCATATGTGTGATGCCATCATGTCAATATGGACCAAACTCTCTGAGGAATGTTTCCAGTACCTTGTTGAATCTATGTCACAAATAATTTAAGGCAGTTCTGAAGACAAAAGGGGGTCCAACCCTGTACTAGCAAGGTATATCTAATAAAGTGGCCGGTGAGTGTATATATCTCTAACAATCATTTTGACTTTAAGATTTCACGGACCTTGTTTATAGGAAAGTAGCAATCCGTTTTCCTCAAGCTACTAGTGAGATACAATAGAAGCTTCTCCATAATTGATTATATGGATACTTGGTGGCACACAAGAGTCATTTGCCTGACCTGAAGCTGTGTAAAGATAGTGGGAAATAAAATATCAGCGGTGAAATCATACAACACTCTACAACCCAGCAAACCATGTCCATTATGTTACCCGGTTTGACAAATCATATGATTCCCTGCATATCTGACAGGTCATTCATCCTGCTATTCAGCTGAATCAAAAAGTGATGAATTGGCAATTCTCCTAATAACTCAAAAGACATTTCCATGCTAATCTATAAAACGGTGGGGAGTTATGACCTTCAGGAATTAATATCCGGTATCACTGAAAAAGTATTGAGTGGAAAAAAAATCCTGTGTTCTACAATCTTCATTGTTTAATATCAGTTGTCAATCTTTATGTTAAAAAAAAAAAAACACATCGTAATTCAACATTTGTGTTAGCAGTCATCCTCCCATAGAGGAGTTCAGGGCGATGCATGTCAATGTGTGATAATCTGCTCATAGACATCTCAATTATCACCCAGATTGGGTTGGCATAGATCTGTACACAACAAACTGAGAACAGAGCATAGATGGCTTCTCAAGCGACAATGATCTGCCCTGACAGGACAATAGATGTGGTCGAATGACCAGATGTGTTGGATTTTGACATTAATGACCCTTATTCTGATGAATTTGACAAGTTTCAGATTTCCAAATGTTTGCCAGGCCCAGCATTTACCTTTTGGCAGAAGTAGCTCCACATTGACTGTATTGCAGCAGGTCTCACAGGTTTTGAAGTCATCTTTGATCCTTTAGTTCAAAAAGAATACAACATTGTTCAACGCCATTTATTAGAAATTGTTCTGACCAACAGTGGAAATTTACAGGGTTATTCACAAAGCTGCCGTGGGCAGCTAAGTGAATAACCCAACCGAAGTGAAGTGAGCCAAACACTGTTCGGCTATTCACTTCTGGCTTGTACAGCTGATTTCAGCTGTACATCGGCTGCCTTCGGTCAGCCGAACGTGCTCTGTATGTTCGGCTGAGCCAATGTGCAGAAGGACTTTGACTCAGCCAATCCAAGATCTGGATCGGCTGAGCCGAAGCTCTGGCAGTTCTCCCGTTGCCGTTTGCCCCTATTCTCATAGGGGCCGAACGGCAGTGGGTGAATAGCTAAATGCCGCCAAGGTACCGAGCAGGATAGAAAATAAGTGAAAAGAATGTTAAAAAAAAAAAGGCTGCAAAATGATTTTAAAAAATGATCAAAAACAGGAAAATGAAAAAAAAACTATTGGGCGGAGCTAGCAGTGACAGCAAGCTCCGCTCAACTGCTTCCTATTGGCCGAAACCTGCCAGAGGCTTCTAGCAGGTCCCGGCCAATGAATAACTGCCGGCTCCACGGCCAGCTCCGCCCCGTTGTTATTGTTTAATAACAGATCCGTGTCCCCAGGTCATTTGGGGACGCTGATCTGTCATTACAACTGGGCGGAGCCAGCCATGAGATCAGTCAGGCAGTTCTCTCTGCTTCGGATGTCACCTCGGCTCAGTCGAGCTGAAGCATATGCCTTCGCCTCGTTTGAGCCACTCGACTGCTGTACGGGCTATTGTGAATAGCCCGTACAGCAGCCCTTCAATTCGACTTAACCAAAGGGCAGAGGCGGCCGAAGAATCAGCCAAAGCCACGGCTGGATACTTCGGCTCTTTAGTGAATAACCCCCTTGGACTTTTAGGCTGGGTTAACAACCCAGATATAACAAATTCCTTTTCAGTTTATTCTCTATATTTTTATTTAAAGTGAACATGCGCTTTATCTATCAAGAACAAAACAACAGATGAATTCAATACCCTCTTCCTAGGTGCTCATACTTTCCATTTGCACTCCCACAGCTCCATTCACCCACCAAAGGTGATGAAGGGAAGCCCTGTTTAAGCTCTCTTCCCATCCCCAAGTGATCACCAAGTGATCACAGTGCTGTCACATGAGGGGAAGGGGGAGTGAGTCACTTCGGCTCAGTCGAGCTGAAGCATATGCCTTCGCCTCGTTTGAGCCACTCGACTGCTGTACGGGCTATTGTGAATAGCCCGTACAGCAGCCCTTCAGTTCGACTGAACCAAAGGGCAGAGGCGCTCGTTCATATGTTATTTGCTTGGGGCAGAGAAAGAAAAAGTATGTGGTGCAAGGCATGGAACACTAAAGCAAACCTGTTGCTTTCCCCTACATAGACAAAGCAAATGTTTGCTTTAAATGGTAAATCCATCCAAAAATGATATTTCAGATTTTGTTAGATACTGTTAAGTGAAACCAGCTGTTAATTTCTTGAGGGCTGTGGCCATTATGATAGGTTCCCTCTGTCCCCCTAGGAGGCACTGGAGTGTGCAAAGGTGGACAGGACTCAAAACTTTCAGCTGGACAGGAACAGAGGTGGGAACTATAAAAGGGATTTCTCCTTGTTTTAATATTCAAAACATAAGAGTAGCCAGGGGCCACATATGATTAAATATGACTTTTGGATAGACTCACCCTTTAAGGACAGACCGTGTCTCATTCCATATTAGGAAATTCCCACCAGCTGTACAAACATTTTGTATACATGAAACAATACATACATATCATAGACTGAACCAGAACGTTCAATATCCGGCCATTCAAACTCTTCAGGGCATCCCGCCGTCCTACAAGGTGTCCGAATGTAATAGAAAAGTCCAGGCCACTCCTTACAAAGCTTCTCCATAATAGAAAGGATTGTTAGTTTGAAATCCCAGAGAGGCCTAAAATCTGCATATAAAAAAATATTTAAATCAGGATTTCCAGATTTCCAGCTGCTTCTGATCCCACCTCCTAATTTATTTCCTATCACTAGAACCTGGAGCCGCAATATCATATTTTCTACAATTCAACCAACAGGGCAGTGTAATCCAGGTAGGCCCAAATGTTAATATATGATGGTTCTCTATGAGCTATATAATTTCTTCCCACTGCTGCCAAACTTCTCCTGTATTGTGAAAAATCTGGCAGGAAATTAGTCATATAATACATTATCTTGCATACAAGTACTAGAGGAAGGGCGTCATCATCGGGTCTAAACACTGTTCAGATTTCCTCATATATGCCTACAGCCATCATAAATTAACTGATATTTCTAAACGATATACATTTTTTTGTGATAACTGAACTATGATGGATTTAAAGCCAAACTCCAGACAGGAGGACAGCTTCAAAAATAATATTAGTAGCGGGATTAGACAGGCTTTCACAGGTAGGATTATCCAGGGTGCCTCCAAAATCCTCAAAACAAGTTTCTTCTCTCAACCAATTAATACGGCTCCCACTGTACTTTTGGACTGCTCGGGAGGGCAGGTGCTGTGGGTCTCATAGATCTCATTGCTGCAATCGCATCCCCAACCCCCTCTACTCCTGGCCACTCACAAAACAAAGGGCCCTGAGCAGCCTGGAAGTACAGTATGAGCTGTACTCAGAGGCGGAACTACTGGTGGTGCAGCCGGTGGCGCCGTCCCGGGCCCCACGGCTGTGGCGGGGGCCACTGAGTGTTGGTGAGGGGGCGTCGGGAAGGGACAAGCAGGCCGGGTGCGAACACAACATTGGCAGCTAATAGGGCAGCCCTGGGGCCTGGGGACCCAGCGAGCAGCTGCCGCCTGACATTGCAGAGGGAAGCCCGCGGCGCATCTGACTGCTCGGTGAGTTTATTTTCCTTTTCACAGCTTCTCCCCGTGCTTCCCCCGGCTGTGTGAATTGGCACCAGCCAGGAGGACATTATCAGACAGTTGAAGAGAGGAGAGGTGACTTGCCATGTTAGAACATGGAATAGAACAAAGCTGTACGAGAATCCACATCTGCGCCCGCTCCGTCCTCCACATCTGCGCCCGCTCCGTCCTCCACATCTGCCCCCTGCTCCATCCTCCACATCTGCCCCCCCTGCTCCATCCACATCTGCCCCTGCTCCCTCCTCCATACGGGGTGTCAGTAAGATCCTGTCCCGGACCCCCATCGCTCACCCCGAGCAGAAGGGGGAAGGAGGGCCTGAGAAAAAATCTTGCACCAGGGCCCTTTGTTCCTTAGGTCCGCCAATGGCTGTACTTATGGGGTGAAGAAACTCGTTTTGAGGACACTGAAGGCAGCTTGGATGATTGAACCTGTGAAGGCCCATTTAATCCCGACTACTAATTATGTAGTTAAAACGGTCCTCCTTACCAGAGTGTGGCTTTAAGAAGCTAGCAAATTTCTGTAAGCATCAGGAGTGCATCCAAATTTTCCATATAAGAGAGCAAATCTTTTCAATGTATATGAGGAATGCAACCCTGAGCAGATAAAATAATGCAGCGGCTTTGGTGTTACAGGGATTCCAATGGCCAGCAGGTATTTTATACTCTGTTGCTGATAAGAGTTACTGGAACTGAGCACAGTGATCACAGTACAGGTACGGTATATGGCTAACAGTATTGGTGCATTTAATCTATAACATACAGTGCAAAGACAATTGTGCACTTGCAACCTTGAGGCCCTTTTCTGTTTCAGCATAACTGTGCCCCTGTGCACATAGCCAGGTTCATAAATACATGGTTTGACAATTTTGGTATGGAGGACCTCAAGTGGACTAATAGAGCCCTGATCTCAACCTTTTTCAAAAACTTTGGGACAATTTGCAACACCATTGTCAGCTAGGTCTTTAAGCCTAACATCAATGTTTGATCTCACAAGTGCACTTCTGGTTAAATGGACACAAACTTTTACAGACACACTCCAAAAATAGCCATAAAGGAATGGAGGGTGGCGCTTCATAATAATGCCCATATTTTGGAATGAGATGTCCAAGAAGCTCATATAGGTTTGATGACCAGGAGTCCACAAACTTCTGTTCATATAGTTTTAACTAAAGACTGGGCATGATCCAATTTCTAAAATATCTGTGCTTAATGTAAACCTGTAACACCCACCTTGTGCCGTGGAAGGGGGTCCCTGCAGACAGTCAAAGTTAGTCTGCATTGCTGCCCACAGCCCCGAGTCTAGTGGCATCCGCCTCCTCCGTTCCCCGCCGCTCTGTGAGATCCGACGTGTGGAGCCGCCGTGTAGTGCTCATGCGCGCACTGTGTCTTGCCTTAAAGGTACAGTGTACTAATTAAGGAAGAACCCCGCCTCTGGAGATGACCGCACCCTGATGTCAGCAGGTACAAATACTAACCTCGCACATCATTCTGTGCTTGGTTATTACAGAGCTTGTCCCCGTATTGCCTAGCGTTTTAGTCGACTCGTATTTCCTGTGTACCGAACCCAGCTTTCTTCCGGACCACAAATCTTGCTGCCTGCCCCTGACCCCTGCTACTCTCGCAGATTACGTCTTTGGATATCGATTTGGCCACAATGTTTTGGACTGCTCCTGTGCTGGTCACCACCACATGAGAGACCGTGTGTTATCCGGGTTTACTCGTGTGGAGGTACCGTTATCTAACCATGCCATTGGCTCCCTTTCAAAGGTACAGTCAGATGGTCATCTGAAACCTCTTACTCTTTATTCAAAAAGCTTGAAAATTAAGATAAGTTAATTTTGGAATTTACCATTGGGTTTTCTGGGTCTTCGACTTCGGATCTCAAGGTAACTATCAGCCCTCTGGTTATTCTCCTTGATCAAAAGTGGTTTTCCATTGTTCACTAGAAGAAATCTTTCTTTTTCCACCCAATGGGTAGTGTAGAAGGAGCATGATTTCACCATGAGTCTAAAATGTAAATAAGCTGATTGAGGTAGCCAAAATTCACAGTTATACATTTTAAAACTTAATTTAAAGCTTGTCTTCAAATGAATTCATATCAACAGTTCTCTGCAACATAACAAAGAAACACATACTAGGGTCCACTTTCAAACATGACCACAAATCCTGCAACAATTGCAGTAATAGAAAGCAGTTAGCAAAAGCACTGCAAACAGATTAATGGTCATTATAAAACTACAACACATGTTTGTACCAGCAATAATAGGTTTTTAGACATATACCTTTGAAAAAAGCCTTCTGGAACTTGTGGAGAAAAGTAAACTCTAATGTATATATCCTCATTGTGATCTCCACCCCACCGTTCAGCGACTTCCATCAAGGTATTGAGATACGTTGGGAAAAGATAGCACAACTCCTTCGGGGACTTCTTACAGACCATGGATTCCCAGGTACAAATTCTTGGGCGCTTGGGTTGAGGTCCTTTGTGCTTCTAACAGACATACAGATCTGGAAATGGACTAAGAGGCTTAACAGCTTACCATCCTCTCTCGAATTGCCCAATAAATCAAGGAAGAGATCCTTTGTGTCCTTAAGAGGAAAATTCTCTAGCTGCTGTTTAACAAGGACTCGAATGGCCTGCAAGCGAAGCATAGCTTTAAATCGTAGCATTTGTTGCCATTTCAAAACATCACGCTTGAAGGCTCTTTCCGAAACTAGGACTTCAGCAGGAATTTTCTCTAGTTGATTGGCAAGATCATGCCTAACAAGCATCTGAAATATAATTAAGTAGCCAAATGCAAGGTATCAAGGAACAACAGGTAGGATTTGAAAAAATAAAAATAAATGTCACACAAAAAAAGTACACAGCGATATCTCAGTGTTTGCTGACGATATCAAAATTGGGGGGTAATAGAAACAGACCAAGATACTGTAACATTGCAGGGGGACCTGGATAAAATAGGGGAGTGGGCAACTATGTGGCAGATGAGGTTTAAAGTCGTTAAATGCAAAGTTATGCACTTTGGGAGGAATAATAGGCAAATGGGTTATACAATTATGGGTATGCCGCTAGGGAAGTCGGAAATGGAGAAAGATTTGGGGGTCATTGTAGACCACAAACTAAATAATAGATTACAGTGCCAGGTGCTGTAAGCAAAGCTAGTAGAATCTTGTCCTGCATCAAGAAGGGAATATTTTGCAGGGATAGGTCTATAATTTTGCCACTTTACACATCAATGGTTCGGCCCCACCTGGAGTATGCGGTGCAGTTTTGGGCAACGGTCCACACAAACTAATTAAGAGGATGGAGGACCAGAGCTATGAGACACGGCTACTAAATTTAAACATGTTTACGTTTGAAGTAAGGAGATTAAGGGGGGACATGATTTTCCTGTACAAGATGTTCTATAGTCATAGCAACATTAGCAACAAACAAACTTTGAGATTAATTCCGTAACAAAGACTAGAGGACACCACCTAAAACTGGTAGAAAAAAAATTCAAACACAAGGGGCGAATGGGGTTCTTCTCAGTTCGCATGGTTAGGGTCTGGAACTCACTGCCTCAAGCGGTAATTTCCGCAATTAATCTGGAATCATTCATGAAGCTTTTGGACGACTTCCTGAGAGACCGAAATGTACAAGGGCAGAGGTACTCTTAAGAATGAGAACACTCATGCACCTATACACACACACAACAGGTTGGACTTGATGGACTTATGTCTTTATTCAACCTCAAATACTATGTATGTAACTATGTAAAAAAGAAATTGTGTACATAGTAACAAAGATAAAATCAAACCTTGAAGATAATTATGAGGAAAGATGGTTTCAAAAAGACAGTGTCGACTAAAGACTTGATATCCTCATACCAGACAATGAGACCAATTCGATGGAGATACCGCAAAATGTCTTTTAGAAGGTCTTTATCCACGTCATTGTGATAATTTCGAAGTATAATTTCACTCAGAAGATTGTCTAAATCCATTATGCCTGAAGGACAAATAACATAAAAGTTGTATTGCCTGCACATAAACACACAGAGTGAGTAATAGTAACTTTCGTGCTCTCATCTCTGTAAACTGGAACACTTATTGATTTAGCTGCTTAAGCACAGAGCTCTTAGATTAAAAAATAGCTGCAGTTGCATCTAAAACTCCAGGACCACCAAAGTGCAATGAAAGTCTCCAGGACCACCAAAGTCCAATGCAGATGAATACACTTTATGGTCATATGTTTGTGGACAGTTGACCCTCACATCTATATGATTAACTTCTGCTCCACCCAAAATTATTCAGATCTGTTTCATCTCTGATTTCGAATATTCTATAACAGATGAACTCTTCAGTGTGACCATCACCAAACACCCTTAGGATCAGATACTCACCAAAAATTGGTAACCCCTAAACCATAGAAGGTCAGTTTTGCATATGTTGTTCACTCTCCAAGGGAAGACTGTCTTTTGATTCCTTGTCACACTTCCCTGAATCCAGGACCCACTTGAACCATGGTTAGGCATTCCATCATGTGCCCTAACTGGTACACACACTCTCAACCACCCATCCACAGGACAGGATTTCACTCAAGGCCAACCAAGGCCTGGCCTCAGGGGCAGCAGGGAGTAGAGGGGCAGTAGGGGTGTGGAATTCCTATCTCCTGATGCCCAGGACATGCAGTTCCGGGCGCCGGGCGGGTAGTTGTTTTCTACATTTAGCTCTGCTTTGGGCAAGCAGAGCTAAATGTACAGCGGGGAAGCCGCCGCTTGTGTTGTATGCAGCCTATGGGAGGGGGTGCTTTTTGGCGGGTAGGGGGGTGCATTGAGGAACCTGGCCTTGGTGCAGCAGAGAGAGTAAATCCGGCCGGCCCATCCACCCATTATGTATCAAGCAAGGGAGAACACTGTTGAAATTTGGACTTTTAATGTGTTTATGCACTTTGTCTTAATTAGGGTGGCGCACACAATTCTGAACAGAGTGCTGTTATATAATTTTCAGCTATTCTTAACGCATTTATATTGTTAGGTATTGACATAACTTCCTGTTATAAGAATTGTGGATTTGATTTTGTTTTTTTTGTTTTTCCTTTTTGCATTTATTTATTATTTTGGTTTTTACATGATTTAGTATTCACTAAGAACTTTTAGATAGGGATGTTTTGGGATTTTAGAAGGGCAAGCAAGTGCTTTGTTTTTTAAAATGCTAGATAGAATGTTTCCATTTATCTAAACAGCAGTTGTAGAGTAAAAGATTCCTCAGGTAGTGGAGTGGGGAACATAATTTATGTTACAGAAACAAAATGGGTTAGGAGGGAGCGCAGAATTTCCTTTTTTTTAAATTGTTTTCACACATCTATATGAGCCTTTGGGACGTTCCAAATCAAAACAATGGCCATTAATATGGAGTTGCCACCCCCCCCCTTCCTTTTGCAGCTATTTCAGCCTCCACTCTTCTGGAAAGGGTTTCCACAAGATCTTGGAGTGTTCCATGAGAAGTTTTGCCGAAATATTCAGCCAAAATAGTATTTGTGAGGTCAGGTAATGATGTTTGACAAGAAGGACTAGTTTAAAAATCAGTTTTTCACTATGGTTAAGGTTGGGACTCTGTGCAGGTTATTCGACTTCCTCCACACCAAACTCGTCAATTCATGTCTTTATGGACCTGGTTTTGAGCACAGGGGCACACTTTGGTTGATAGGAAGTAAACAGTGGTCTACAATGTCTCTGTACTGCATACTGTAGCATTAACAGTACCCAGTACTTGTACATGAAGTCAATATTTAAAAGGAGTGTCCACATACATTTGTCTATATAGTGGAGATCTAACCCCACACCTTCCTTGTGTTGTAATCCTTTTTTACTGTATGGCATCATACTGTGTACTGTACATTGTTTCCAGATTTCATATGTCTTGGAAGTGCAGGCAGCAGGGAAATAGAATGGAAAGGTAGGGTACTGGGGGTATGTATGGAAGCTGGAGCTTTTGTAAATGTAACCACAACCCCATAGAGGATGGGCATCATGGAATATGACTTCTGAGTTACACAGTAAACAGATATTTATTTGCTATATACACTTGAACTTCAATAGTCCTGTGCCCCTGAAATAAACTCCAGTTATCATTAAACTTTTGAGCAAATTCAATTCCAGGTTGCTCCTCTTTGACATAACTACTAGTAGAGCAAGTCTTGTCCAACTAGTGGTACACATTCTTAAGTCCCTAAAGGTATTTGTCATACAGTTGTAAAGACGTTTTATAAAGGCCAGAGTATTGTAGATGACATGACTCATTTATGATGCCAGCCTAGGCTGTTGGTCAATATAATGGATCACTTACCATGCAGAGGACTGTCTTCACTATGAATCACTTCCAGAATAGACTGTTCCACTGTTTTGTAGATATTAGGCAACATTTTAATAACATTAGGAAATAGCTCCACTTTTCTCACTGAACTCAAGATGTGGTGTTGCAGATTTTCTATGTCATGGTAGTTGGTGCTATCAATGGTAACAACTGGAAGAACCTGTAAAATATGAAGTTCTGATTGTCATATAAAGACTTGATGGATTTACATTTACAAATGTTGGCAAATTTTGATACACAACTAAAAAGTAACCAAGGTATAAAGAGCTGTTTCAGTTCCGCTGCTAATTTACAGAATGCACTGCCAGCAACTGGCTGACTTGTGACTTTCCTTTCTTAACCACTGCCGGTTGCTCAATGGCTGAACCAACTCAATTGATCTCTTTTGAAGATTTGTCTGACCTTACTATTTGAGTAGAATGGCAAGGCCAGAACTGAGCTTGACTATTGATGAAACAAAGTTTTCTGGATATAAACATATTTTGGATAAAGTGGGGAAGAGATAGATTTTTCAGTGTCTCCACTGGCGAGATTCACCCTCTCCATCTGTTCTACTGACCATTGTCAAAACCAAAGAAAGCAAGGGGAACTACAAAACTGTATAGCTGTCAGCAGGTGAGGGGAAGTGTCTAACAGAGACACTTGTTCTGGTGCCAAATGGTGCCAAATGACTAAGAGGGGATGTCCCCTAACTATGGAGAGGTTTCCTCTCACTTCCTGCAGCAACTGCAAAAAAATGAATAAAGAAAAACTGACTTGGGTTTTAACCATTCCCTACTATAAAATCTGATTTAGATATAGTTTAGCTCAAGATATTCTTAATTCCTCCAAAATTTTGTTTACTTTTAAATATTAAACATATTCCATGTGTACAACTCCCCCACCTTAATTTGTATTATAGCCAAAACTTTTTTTAGTTATTGGTAAAGTAGGGACAGTTTAAAACTCTGGCCAGTTTATTTTTTGCTGTCTGTGTACCATTGGGGATATTTCCATTCCCTTCCTGTTCAGGACACATAGGTAGTCAGTGGAAATCTACCAAAGTATTTGCACTCCTACACAGTTGTCCCCAGAACCGGTGTACCTTTACCTCTTGCACATGGGGACAACTAAAATTTTGAATTTCTAAATGACAATGGTCGCCAATAAAAATAGAGGGGTCATTCTCCCCAATAGGGATACAGGCAGCAAGAAAAACTTGAAAGTGGGCCTGATCATTTCCTACTTTATAAAAAAAAAAAAGGTTTTGCCTAGAGATACATTTTAACCATATTCTCGATAATGCCCCATTTGTCAGGAGTTGCGTGCATGAAAAACATACTAATGTACTTTAACATTGAAATATTCTCTGCATAGGATTATGTTAATATTACATTTCTTTGTATTTTGCTATAAATGTCATCTGATATTAATTTTTCAGGAATGGTGTGTAAAGAAAAATCTTCTCAAATGAACAAACAACATGAAAGCATGCACATACATTTATGGTACAATTAGATATCTCTCTCAGCTTTTCTGCCTGCTCAAGGTAGAGCTCAGAGTCCTGACGTTCCTCCAGATTGTTGATGAAATGGAAGAGGTTGGCTTTATATTCATCCAGCATCCTGGAGATCTTCTCTTGGATATCTCTACTCTTTATTTCAACTTCCTCTAGAAGGCATAGATCGGTGTGTGTCCCCACAGTAAGTACTACGGAATTGGGCACTCTCATGAGCAGGTTGTTAATCCAGAATCCTACCAAGTCCATAAAGCACTGATTATCATCCATCTGGTACCTGTATGAGTAGATGAAAAAGGTTGTTAACCCTATGGGTCTCCTTACATTACAAGGTAGTGCAGGGCACGACAACTAAGTATAAACAGCACAGAGTGTACAGAAAACAGTTTGCAATTTCTTTGTTCTAAAGAAAAGCTACAGGTCACGTGACCTCTTCACTTTTCCTGGGTTCTGCACAGCCTGAGCCGGTTGGTGGATCCAAGCTGGGCAGAGCCGAGTGGACAACAAATAATCATGTGACACAGCCTAGATGAATGGACATAGTAAGTTGTAGAGATGACATTAGTTTGTTTGAAGAAACAGAGCATGGCCAAAGCAGCATCAATGCTGCGGAGACTCAATATGCCTGAAGTTTGTTGCCAGCACTAACCAAGAAGGACACTCGGCAGGATCACCGGGTATTTTCAAGGAAAATCAAGTCAGATTTCAAAAAAACAAAGCGGCAGATAGTTTTGACATTTTTCATTTGGAGGTTTTAATGTCTTTATCTTTTTGTGTTTATAATCACTTCTAGTCCCTAACACATTTGTCCTAGGGTGACAACGCTGCTCTTTTACACATGCAGTGAGCGTTGTCACTCTAGAACAGGAAATGTGTAGTTGTCAGGCTTACAAGACAAAAATGAAGGGGAAAAAAATTGGAAAGCAAAAAAAAAATGCAGCCACCACATCTAAGGACTGGTGAGCCGTAGTATATAACATTTTAAGTCTATATTTACTTAACAAAGCGTGCATTGGTTATTGGTTAGTTAATATAGGGTCCCTTCAGACCTATGTATTAGTAGTAACATTTAGCACTTTGTACGGACCGGATGGAAGCCCAGGTAAAACAGGGCAGGTGCGGCAGTGACAGCAGATGCCTCCGCAAAACACAAGTCCAAACAGAAGGTCACTCGCACTCCAAAAGTCAATCTTGTTTATTGACTAAAAATAGTGTAGCATTTTACAGCACCGTTTCGGAACCAGCACGGTTCCTTCTTCAGGCATGTCCCGGTCCGACACCGGATAAGTTATCCAGAAAGATTACAGTTTTGCTATCAATACTGATCTTGTTGAATTAATTTGGATATGTAATCTTTGTTCTTTCTGTAATTTCTGTATATCATTGGTGCAACATACATGTGGGGAAATTTTGTCGTGGACATCTATTTTATCGTATCGATGTATTTGTATGTCTAATAAATCATGTTTTTTTATTTTACTTATACTTATGGTCATGACACCTTATTAAACCCCATATTTCTTTTTGTGGTTCATTAATATGCCAATCAGGAATGAACAAGCATTCAGTCAGTCGCTGTCGGCCAGGCCCCCTGCTGATCTGTTAGAGAAAAAATTATGTAGGCAGCCCTCCTGTACTGGCCCAATTAGCGGTCCTGCCTGACATGATTGGTTGCTAGGCAGCCAGTGGTCCTAGCAACCAATGATTGAAGCAGAGGGTGGTCTACGCTGGGTTACGGCTGGCAGTGGATACATCGGCCTCAGAGAGTGGAACCACTGTCAGCCAGCCATAACCCAGTGCAGATTGGCGATCGTGGTCCAGTCAGAACCGCCGCTCGGTCGCTCATTTAGGGGCATCTGCTGTATATTAAGCCTGGTGTGGTAATGCACTGCAACAGAAAGCAAAGGTCTGAGTCCCTAATGAGATGCTGATAGAAGTGAGAACTAGTAATTGCTTGTTGTAAAAATTTGATGGTTTAAAGCAATGAGAAGCGACAAGAATTAAAAAAAACAGGCTACTGATGTGAACAATGCAATGTATTGTTACTGATGTCTATATTAATTATGAGTGAGAGCAATCAGAATTTATGCACACTGTGTAAAGCCCTACGACGGGATGATTGTTCTGAATACACTATAGGGATTATTAAAATAATCGTGTCGCTCCCTGGACAAAGTCGTTTGTGACGAAAAACGTACGTTGGAAGAGTTTGCTGACACGAGGTGGAACTGAGGAGTCTGTGGACGCGTTATCTGTGTGAGAGTCATAGGAGCACTTGTACTTTGCCATTGATTGATCTTATCGAATGTGAGTAGTTTTACAAATAAAGGGATGTTTTTATGGTAATCAAACGGTCTGTGCGATGATCTACAATCTGTTTTATTGTCGGTGAGGATGAGCAACACCTACTGGATTGATTTGGATTAAACATTGGAGGAGTCTGTGAAACAATCCTTTGACTGGTTAAGGGCAGGAGAACCCCTTCCTGGCTATAAACGGGGCAACATACTGATGACCTTCTGTCTGAGAGGTCTATCCATAAGGTGAGAGGCAGATATTGTTATTTCACACGGTTGAAGACACGGTCGATAGATGTAAAACAAGAGGATTCACCAACAATACACCAATGTTGTTTGCATCACTTTATGTGGACTGATAACTTTTACGCTGATTGAAGCACTTCATGTGGACTGAACACTTTTGCACTTTAACACTATATTAATGTGGATGACTATAAAGTCACATTAATACATTTGTTGTCATATTTCATATAGACATTTGTTTATATGCACCTTTGCTCATGCATAGTTCATGTGTGTTTATTTGTATTATATAGGAGTTCTTAAAAACTAGATTGGGATTTATTTATTTTTCACACATTATTGTGTAGATGTTAGGAGACAGATTTGGATAATATTTTGTGTGACACTTTGGTTCACAGCGCAACACAATTATTTTAATAATTTGTAATAATATTATCATATTATTTCAGTGTTGCTGCTATCACGCATTTGGCGCAGGATCTATTTATATTTGGCACTATAGGGATTACTTACAAATCACCATGCAGCCATACGCTGAGCGAATGCCATTTGCGCTGCATTCCTGTGCACGGTGTGTAAAACCCTACAACAGGATGAAAGTTCTGAGTACACTTTAGGATTTACTTCCAGATCATCCAACTAGCTGTATTCGCATGGCACTCCTGCCACTAGTTGGAGCCAAGGAGCATAGGAAATATTAATCATCCCCTTGGTGATGCAGCCAGTTCCAAGTGTGCTTAGAAATGGCAAGTATGTGCTTCCTCATTACCTACTTGAAAAGATACAAAGACACAGGGGAAGATGGGAGGGCTGGCAAGGCAGCATGGGACTGACCAACACTACCTATAAAAATGATAAATGATGTAAAGTCTGTGATTACCAAACTCTAATGAATCAACAGGATACAGGCCTAATGTTAAACCTGGCAAATTGGATTGCTCATATCTAATGAATACCACAATCCAAAATACAATGGATGCTACCAGCTACCCATTGTTGCTGTTTGCCAGTAGTTTTTGTAGAAAACATATTGTAGATATACAGGGAATTCAGCAAAGCAGTTTTTTTCAGAAAAATCCTCAAGTTTACATTTGTTTCCACCTATTACTATCTACCACTGTGCAGGTCAACCACTAGGATAACCATCGCATGTGGCGTAATAAAGACATGATGAGTGACATAATACTCCAGATGTCCAGCAAAGTCCCAGAAGAGGAAGGTAAAGTCATTCATTTGGAATTCGCTGATCTCTATACCAACTGTCCTCTCCTCCAAAGAGACTGGCATGATCTGGCCTTGGCTCAGGCTCCGGCTTATAGTTGTCTTCCCAGCCAGGCTAGCACCAATGAAAATTACTTTCACCCTCTTCTCCTCCCTCGCAGGGCTCCCCTGGAGTTGCAGGAAATAGCTGCGGATCTGCTTAAGCCCACCTGCACAGACCTCGTCAGGTGGTTCCCTCAGATAATTGTGGGAGGCATTGAACTTTTTCAAGGAAAGACTAAGGAAGAGATCAGGGGGGAGCTTTTGCAACCTATTGCTGTCCACATAGAGTTCTCTCAAAGCCATCAACATAAGGATAGACTTGGGTATGTCTGTGAAGAGATTGTGGGCTAAATTTAAGTAGTGGAGTTCAGAACAAGTAGATAAGTCCTTTGGTAGGTCTGAGAGGCGGTTGTTATTTAGTTTCAGATATTTGAGGCTCTTGAGGTTTGGAAATATTCCACTGGGAATGGTCTCAATCTTGTTCTGGTTGAGCTCCAGCCTTTCTAGGTGGACCAAATATTGGATCTCCATTGGGAAATCATTCAACTCGTTTTTGGAAAGGATGAGAGTCTGAAGTTCTTTAAGACAGCCTATCTGTGAGACACTTCGGAGTTTGTTGCGATCAAGGTTAAGGATTTGAATACTGGTGTCCAACAGAACCTCAGATGGGATAACCTTCAGTCTCTTCAATGACAGGTCCACCTGCCTCAGGGGCAACGCTTCCTTGCCTGCTTAGTAAAAATATATGTCATCAATATATCACTTTGCAAAAATAAAGTCTAAGAATTTATTTTATGACAAGCAACAGTTTATTTACGGATCCAATGTAATCAGAAAAAAAAAACGCAGAACAAAGAATATTTTTTTAGTACAAACATTCTGAAATTGCAAGTTAAAAATAGTCCATGCGTGCTTACTTGCAAATCTGTGTTACCTTTTGCTTTGTTTATGTACAGCAAAAAGGGAATTGGGGTTTAGTGAGGTGTCATGATCACTGCACAAGTAAAATTATAAATACATTTATTGTTGCATAGTTTTACATAATAGCAGTATAAAAATAAATGTCAACAGATCATAAAAACATGATTGCCCCCATATTACCTATATACGCCGCCAGAAAGTGATAATCATACGCCGCCAGAAAGTGATAATCATACGCCGCCAGAAAGTGATAATCGAAGACCTTTAGCAAGATATGGATCCTTTTTTCGACCCCAGATGGCCCACATAAACTCCTGATTGTTTGTGTCAAATTCCAGGTATGGGGAAGTATTCCCCATACCTGGAATTTGACACAAACAATCAGTTAGGAGTTTATGTGGCCCATCTGGGGTCGAAAAAAAGGATCCATATCTTGCTAAAGGTTTTCGGTTTGTAGCGAACACTATCGTTCGCTTAATAAGTTACTAATGATCTGTTTCTGTTGATGTCCCCTCCTGCTTTGATTCCGATGTCCTTGACACGGGCTGGACACGAGTGTTGATTGGAGGCTTGCTCTTGAACATTTAACGAATTCTGCTGTTTTGCTGATACTTGCTCTATGGCTCAGAGCGCCAACAATTATCCCATGTTCAAAGGCTGTTAAATCACGTTGTTTACCTGTATCTTCAGAAAAAAATCACTTTTACTGTCATGGTAAACAACCTGCTTCCCTATTTATAATGGTCTGTCCCTCTAGCAACTTCAGTGCAAAATTATAGCTAATTGGCCTACAAACGTCAGGTGGTCATAATAATCTGGCCATTCAGTGTATATGCCAGCGTGCAGAGCCTATTCTGTTTTACTCATTATTAATAGGTGGTGGTAAAGGGGGTATTTTCTTTTAAAGGTAAGTCATTTAATTTTCTCTTATAGGAAGTTCTGAGTGGGAACTACTTTCATTCTTAGCCAGGAACTGGGCACTTCTATCCCCACCACAATCCTCCTTCTCCTGCTCTTTGATCAGTCTCTTGTTACTGGTTTAACTAAATTCTGGTGTCATTCAAATGAGAAAGGAGAATGTAGGGCAGAACAGAGAGGAGCTACATTGTTCTGAGCAGTAGTAAGAGGGAGGTGTGGAAAGCCTATGACCATCAAGCTGTGCGGCCAGCAGAGATCAAGCCAAGAAGTCAAGGAGAATCCTAAGATCTTGCACAACATCTATGGTAGGAAGCATATTCAGAAACATACACACATCTTCAGGTATGCATACATGTACTATTCACTTTACTAATTTTAGAGTGTTTGGATTCAGATAAAATATTAGCTCTATCTTTAAATCAATGCATGATACACTTCACAGGGATATCTAGCTATTACACTCCCTCTCATGTAAACAAATGCATGTACATTGCTGTGAATCAACCCACTATGTCAAGGAATTAACATTTCCAAGTAAACTTGTACTTGGACTGATATGGACCAAAAGCAGATTTAAATGAAATTAGATTTTCATAGATTTTATTTACTGGAGGGGTCAGTCCACTTTTGGGTGGCTGTGGTTGAGTTAAATCATCCACTGGCTCCTTATATCTCTTTGAGACTCTAGCAGAAATATCTTTGTTTTAAAGTCCAGAGATTAACCCACATGCCATAGCCATAATGAAATACTAATTTATTGGTTCCTCCCATAACTTTTCAAGTTTCAATTTCAATAGTGGAACTGTATTTAACCATACACACATAGACAACCCCACAGATAAACACTGCAAACTGAAGTTGGCACTGTTCATCTACAGGCTGAAGGCTCTTACGGTGGGTGACCCTGTGAGCCCTACAAAATTCAATTATTCTACAGATTCTTGTTGAAAGAATTGGGCCAATATTTTCAGCAGAACAGTGACTGTAGCCAAACAACTGTTTATTTATTCTGACAGCAGCAGGCACAGGCCATAGCCGGTGATTAGTTAAAAAAAATCTTTTAGCGCTTGGCAAACGTTAGTATACTTTGTATATGAAGGAGTGCCATTGCCATGCTATAACAGGAACACAGAACATTCCACTATCTATCTCCATAACATAGGTGTTCTGAAGTCCTCAGAAAGATAACAGTGTAGTACAGGTAGAGTGCACAGAAAATTATGCTTTGAATGGTATATTTAACAGGTCAAAAAGAAGCAAAGAAGGAGTTCATTGTCAGGGTTTACATACAATTTAACTCGCTTGCATCCACTTAAAACTAAAATCTAGTATTAGGTGGACTTGGTGTTTAATGTACAGTTCATAAACATACCGTTCATACGGTATGTAGTATCTATGGCTGGGAAACTACTTCGTTTTGTAACTATTGTTTCTTATCCACTGTGATATACAGTATATATCTAATAGATTAGCTAGGTAAAGTCTAAATATTAATCACAGAAATACATTGAACACTTACGTTTTGCTTCCATGAATTCTTGGGTGAGGCTCTTCTTCAAGTGAAGCAGTTTCATTTCCTTATACTGTTGCTTCTTTTTTCCTGTAGTCATTTGCTTGCATCATCAGAGCAACACATTATCACTAAGGAGCCAAGATTTTAACAGTCCCGGGGTCCTTTTGTCACACTGGTATATTTAGGTGCGCTCAGAACTCAAAATAAACCTACAGGGAGCACATGTAAACTCCAACTGTGTGACATGTAGATTGCTAGCACTGTGTATCATAATGTTTTAACCGCGTGTTTATCCTTTAAGAAACCAGTTTCCCCTTTTTTTTATTCTTTTGTATTTGGGTGCTGCTGATCACTTCCAGCCTCTTTGCAAGCCTGTGCAATGGCAGTCAATTCAGTGGCTTTTAGCCCACACCACAATCACATGAGACAAGGTGACAAAGCAGGAGAGCAATTGGAATAGGGAGTGATGAACAAGGATCTTCATGACAGATCACCAAATATTTTAATGAAAGCTACAGATTAAAAAATTCTGAAGATTTGTAAAATTACATTAACGTGTTAAAAGATATGTTGCTTTAGTGATTGTGATTATATCTACTTTTAGTTTTTCATGCAAGCATTACTTTTATACCCTCCACGGGAAATTAAAAAACCCCCAAAAACTATACATACCTATTTCCTGCAGTCTTCTATCCAGTCTGCTGACATTACTGCAGCTTCATTGTCCTAAGGCTGTGACACACTGCACGCGAAGCAGCGCAGACCTTTCCTCTGTGTCATGTCATTTTCACTCCGGCACGTCAGCTTGTGAGAACTCGCATAGTTGAGCATGCCGAGATGAAAAATGTCATCTTCAGCCAATCTGTACGCATGTACTGTATAAACCCGCGCCTCACGATGCAAAGTCCATTTGGTCGGTACACGCAAGCCGATTCATGCACGCATTCTTTCATCTGGCCGCGCTTAGCTCACACACTGGATGCGAACCTCCGTGCCCGACAGCTTTGCTTCTGCTCTGCAGGGCTTCGCATGTAGTGTGTCACGGGCTTAAAAGAGATCTATGGGTAAGTGTTTTTCCCCATAACTCTCATAAGGGTGACGGGAGGACATAAACTAGCATCCTTGTGAGATATAGCGCGATGTATACTGAGACCGCTGCTGCCGGGACAGATCCCGACATTACTGTCGAGATCCACCCAGCTGCGTGAGTGACAGCTGGCTCTGCCTATCTAGAGGCAGAGCCAGCTGTACCCGCCCCCTCCCCGTCCATCCCACCAGTCAGCGCTGGAGGAATCGGAGAGAGGAGGGGGGAATCCCCGCAGGGAGCCATGACTGACAGTCACGGCTCTCTGCAGGGAGATGATCGAGACGTGAGCGAGCGACGGTATGCGTTCGCTCACTTCCGGATCTATTGAGCCGACGTGTGACAGTTTCATTGTCACACGTCGGCTCGAACTATGAGGATGACTGATTTTCACTCACCTCATAGTTCTACTTTAGCTCTGGTGGCAGGGGCAGAGAGCATTCTTCCCAGGCTGAAAGCCACAATGACAGAAGTTGGGGATGGCGTGAACTAAAAATATATATTAAAAAATAATCTTGCAATCTGACAGCCACAGTTTGTGATGCAGGGGAGCTATATGCAAACACATCCTGCAGCCTCCTTCATATCTCTTACAGAAACCTGGATGTAAAAAAAAAAAAAGTGAGCGTAACTAGTGATAGACTTAAGAGATAGAGGGGAAAGTAGCAGGCATGGACACATTTGTTGGCACCTTTACAGTACATTGAAATAATGCTTCAATCCTGCAATAAAATTAAAATCTATGGTCTCATCTCATGTATACCTGCAACCCTTTGGTATGCCATAGTAAAGCAATAAAGTGTAAAAAGAAAGAAGTTATTGTTTATTCTACAAAGATATTCTAAAACGGCCTGGACGGATTTGTTGTTACCCCCTAAAAATGGTTATAAATAATTGGATGATATGTTTTCTGCAATTAGTATCCCCAATGTCTTGACTCTTGCAATCAGAGAAAAGTAGTCACTCCGCTGTTTGGGATCCTCCTGTGCACCACACTGGCCATGAATCGGAGAAAGCAAAGGTGAGAGTTGTCTGAGGAGATGAGAAACAAAAATATAGACCAGCAAAGTCAAGGCTAGGAGAACAACTTGCAGCTATGACCGTGGTGGCAAATATTGAGAACTTAAAAGTATAGTTCCACTTTTGCAGCCAAATTGGGACCTACTTGATACATGTTCCCACTCACAGTACATAGCTTGAAAATTATTTCATTGCTGCTTACATTTTTAGGTGCATTTTACTTGCTTAACCACTTCAGTACCGGCATGTTACAACCCGTTCATTACCGGGCCATTTTTCCGTTTTCAGCGCTGTGCAAGTTTGGCTGACAATTACTCCGACATACAAAAATAACTAAATTAATTTTAGATCATTTTGGGGGCAAATAGAGCTTTCTTTTAGTCATATTTTATATTTTTTTACTGTATAAAGTAAAAAAGACCAAAACATTTGAAAAAAGGCCTGCTTTTCTTACCTTCGTTTATAAATCATAGCAAATAAAAATGTCAAGACCGTACAAAAAATCCCTGAACTTACAACTTTTTGGAAAGTAAATGCTCCTAGGTGATCGGAGTTTTTTGCCACATATTTGTGGAAATGAAGAAACATGCCGGTATTGAGGGGGTTAAAACATGGAGCTGGGTAATAATGCACAAGATACAAAATATATATCTTGAGATCCACAATTTTCCATCCAACCCCGGACGCAGGATTACGCATAATTTCTGTAAGTTTTATCCTGTTTTATTTTCATACTGTCTGCTTGTAAATCTCATTTTGTAACATCTGCTTTTTGTAACTACCTTTTTTCTATGCGCTGCCCGTCTAGGTTTATTAAATATAGAAATAATAAGCAGGTTTTTGATTGCTCTAAAGAACACATGAATCTGAAGAGGTTGTTGTGTGTCTGTTGTATGTGTATAGTTAATTGTATCATCGGTGCCTAGAAGCTTGGTTATAAGTCATTGCCAGGCAGGGATCTGTGTGCCTGATGTGGGTGTGTGTGGGCTGTGGAAGAAGTGGGTACGCCAAGGTCCTAGCTGAGAGGATAGCATGGGGAATCTTAGTGGGCATGAGGAAACCACTTAAGCTGTCACACTACCATTAGAGTAAACTAGATTGGATGCGAGATGTGCATCTGCCTGTGTGTGTCCAGACAGCTAGAGTTGGGTGAGTCTCCCTCCAGTGGTGGCCAGCGGTAGTGCAGGAGACCAAGTGGAGGTACTAACTCTATAGAGGTAATTTTGTCTGGTTTGGCTAACCTGTATCGGCTAGTGAGAGGAGTGTCTTTGGTGTGCAAAGCCCGTGTGCCAGTCTGCGTGAGGGCAGAGTGTAAAGACTAGGAGAGTCCAGGGAAAGATTCCCCACAAGCCTGTAAGTTGTGGCAGCTTAGATTAGTACGCGTGTTGCTTTTTACGGCCTTACCATCACATCTGCGGACTGGGAGGTGCTCGGGGGGAGTTCCTGTGATGATCTGCCACTGCGCTGAAAGATCTCCGAGGACGAAAGAAGGACGGAGATAGCCTGCGCATTGTCCAACCCTTCCCACGTCCCCGTACCCCCTCCCTGGCCCACTATACGTGACAATTGGTGGCAGCAGTGATGAAGCAGTGATAATTAATCATTATTTCCAGGTATAGTGAAGACAGAGTGATTTTTCAACACTTACTACCTAAATAAGTCAGGTGACCGCTAAGAGTAGTGTGCGTATGTGACAGTGCAGGATAAGGGAGGTGAAAGGGTTAATATACAGTTCATAACATAGAGAGAGAGAAACATAAGCAGGGGGGGGGGGGGGTTAAAA